CATTGCGTCCATCGCAGATAACCATATTATTGGATTCCCCACCGACACTGACGCTGCCTCAAGCCGCCGCCTTTACCCGCGGCAATTCGAAAAGCGTTGTGAAGTTTCCTGTCATAAGAAAAGTTAAAAGTTGAGACGGTGTGGGATGAAGAAATCAAAAATAAGAAAAAAATATGCTAAAGAATTTCAAACAGAAGAAAATAAATATAATTTAAAAAGAGAAAAGGGAAATAAATGCTGAAAACGAGGCAAAGACATAAAAGAAAGTACAAGGAAGCCTGCAAGATAAAATTAGAAAAACAGATAAGCTTTAAAAAAAAATAGATTAAAATAAAAGGAAAATGTTAAAATTAAATTCAAGAAAAATGCTTGTCAAAGTGAAGAGGATATTGAATCTCTTTTGCTGGATTCGCAAACGAGATTATTTTGTCAAACTCGTCTTATCCGACAATCAGTTTGCCACCATTTAAGAAAGGAAGAAAAGAGAATGGCCGACATGTTCATTTTCTTTATTGTTTCTATTATTATTTTATATTTTCTGTACTTAATTTTTTATAATGAACGAGTACGCACACTAAATTATTGTTTGCTTCTGTTTTTATTTCTACATTTAGTGTCTTCTTCGATTCATTATGCCCCTTTCTCTTTTTGTTTTCTTCTGATATGGGATCCGGCCGTTTTCATGTTATTTATTCAATCTTTCTATATATTATCCTTTTTCTTTTCATACACATTTTTTTCAATTTTTCTCTCTGTGCTAATGGCAAGCCTTACAAGTTTCCTTCGGTTCATTGTGTTTACTCAAGATAATACACGTATTATTAATATTTTCTTGGATATATATATATATATATATATATATATATATATATATATATATATATACATGATTTCATATGCGGAGTGCTTAGTGGAAAGGGCTTAATATCAGTGATAGAGATATCATATTCGCTTGTATAGATATGAGTTTGTAACCCTGGGTTTCACAATTTTTCGATTTCAAAAGCGTGAATCTCAGGGTCACAAACTCATAACAACTGAATATATATATATATATATATATATATATATATATATATATATATATATATAAAAGTGAACACACGCTCCATCTTTATCCTATGAATATAGGACATCTTAAGATTATATTGCATCATTATCTGGGAATTTAATTATATATATATATATATATATATATATATATATATATATATATATATATATATATATATATATACTGGATGCAACAACAAAATAATCCAAATCGTGTAAAATCAATATTGTCCAATTGTTAGATTAAGCTTTGACCTGATATAGGATTAAAGATATTTTACTGGAAAAGAAAGAATGTATTACCTCTGTGACGTTATCCCTGGCCTCTCTGCCCCCGTCTATCCTGTGACGACCAATGTGACTTGGTATTGGTCGAGGCACCAAATGTGACGTGATCCTGCTGTCACGGCACCAAATGTGACGTTCTAACCCTTGGCTGATTCAACGTCTGGTTACTGAAGTGACTGCTTTGATCTCTAGTCTAACCTACCCACGTTGTGATTTGATCTTAGGTAGACGAAATCAAAAAATCGCCGGCCGCAATGCAAGCCGAATTCGAGCAAAGGTGACATCGCACAAGTATATGCAAAAGAAAATAAAGTAACAACTCGAAAAGTTCAAATGTGTTAAAAAAAATAGCAAATATTTTTATATCTGGTTGCTGAATACAGGACTGCGTCTTTCTCCCAAACCGCTAATATGGATACGTGACACTTTGCGTTTGTTAGGCGAGTCTTAATATCTTAAGTTGTTCTTCAATAACTGGTTTTTTTTTGTATCTTCAGGCGATATTCGTAAAACTTGTTTTGGTTGTGTGAGTCTAAGTCGGAATGCGTGGATCTTCAGTCAGCTTCCTGCGAGGCTGGCCTCAGACCTCACAGCTCAACTCTGTCTGCGTCTGCGTCTCCTCGGAACTCTGCCACTCTCCAACCCCAACTCCAACTGCTGTCTACTCGCTGCGACTCTGTTTATATGGACGCCGACCAAAACCGGGTGTGGGCTTGACGTGGTTTGTGTTCCTCGATAATTCTAAATCCACAATAAGGATTTTTTTTGTTTTCGGACAGGAAAATTTATCACTTTCCATTTTTGGAAGTCCATTACTTTCTGCCCCAGAGGGGTTCTTAAAGGAATCGTCCTCCCAAATTCTTCCTTTCTCACAGTGGTATCTCACACCAATCCCCTCAGAGGGCGTCAACAGGCCTCCCCTCCTTCTCATATGTTTACCTTCGCCCACCGTTCACGCTACCATTTAGCCAATGACGCTCGGCAGCGCGGGTGTTTACAATTATCGCTCAAAGGAAAAAAATATCTTCCTCCTTTCTTTTCTTTCTTTTCCCTACACCAGACCCCTACGACTCGTAGTGTGGTCCTTAGTCACTATCTTAACCGAATGTCGTCTGGAATTTATCAACGAGATTTTCGCCAGCGTCAAGTGGGTGGTCAAATGGACGTCTTCGCACTCTGTCGCCAATTATCTGTCCCGGTAACAAACTTTTATCATGTCCAGGTCTGGACAATAAAACAGGTGGCCTCTTTCCAAAAACAAATGATATCTCCGAAAGATAGTTAATGGTTTATTCTTTTCCCTTCCTTTTTCTCAAAACAGACAACTGAAATTTTTCAAGATCAGCGTTCCGTTTCAATATGATCACGTCGGTGTCACGTTTTGATTAGTCTTACTCTTATGTCCATCGTCTTTTCATGTTGAATTAAATATAGTCTAATGTTAATTATGTTTTATGAATATGTCCTGAAGATGGTCTACTAGACCGAAACGTCCGACCTTGACATTATATTAACATTAAAACAGCATAATTGCATATTAGGATTTTTGTTTGTTTTTTCCGTATATTTTTCTTCATATCTATATCTATATATATCTATATATATATATATATATATATATATATATATATATATATATATATATATCCACTAACTTAAATAGAAGTTTAGGCAATTTTCCTTAAGAATTCTTTCGACCAACACGCCTTTAGAATGATTCGTCGGTGTAATTTGGGACGAGACATAAGACGATATTCAAAAGAACTAAATAGTAGAAGAGGAGGGGAAATCTTATTTCGGAAAACGACTAAAACAATTTATTAGTAAAACATAATTACCGAATAAAAGATAAAGGTTCCGATTGAATATAAAAGGGTAAAGTATTACTCACGCCCTCCAAATAAACTTAGTGAACTGGCAACATTTGTCTACATAGGCTCGGTTGGTGTATTTTACTATAAACCGCTTCTAAAATCTTCAAATGATGAACGGAGCGAGCTCTATGTAAGACAGTGAAACAATTATCTGTATATTGATGTGAAGTTAGGGTTATCCATAAGGTTCTGACCAATTGCTGAATCATTCACCGCTTGGGTTTTTCTAGAAGATCGACCAGAGTTACTTGCTCTTGTACTTGTAGGAACGTGTTGAGCGATACGGGTCTTCAATGTCTGATTGGTCCGTCCTATGTATGCAGCATCAGACTGACATTTAAATTTATATACCAGGGAACTATTTTGTAAATAAGACATATCATCCTTTAACGAAAGAGGGGAACACTGAACGGGTCTCAAAAAATAACACGTGACTTCACAGTCGAAAAACTTAACGTAATACACGCCGATACCGTGTCGGCGAGTACTTGACTGTTCTGACCTAGCCATGGAAGTATTAAATATAGGGGACACAATGAGAGATCAAAAATTACTGGCTCCTTGAAGCGCCTAATTTAAAAATAAAAATACTATCCATTTTTTCTAGTTCCTGATCAAGGGTTCATGGGGAACAAATCATCAACACACGATAGACAAAGGTAGAAATCAAGTTGATCTTACAGGACTTAGGAACAAATGAATTCTAATTTGTAGATAAACCAGTGAACGTAGGTTTGCAATAAACATCAGCCATTTATTAATGTTGTTGATAAAAGATGGAAAATAATGTTTATGTCATCCTTCATGAAACTGGTTTGGCTGGTTTCTATAGAAATGGGTGAATTTGCAAGACAATGGTGTGATTGAATCTGAACTCCTTTCAAAAGCTATTTGTTAAGAATAGATACGTACTTGTATTTGTATAAAATGTTACGTAACAAACAAACATATACTTATATCAGGAAACTCCAATCAATACTAGAAGGACCTATAACATTTACTGACCTTGAGAAGTATAATTTAGTAAAAATCTATTTTATAAAAAACATTTTATGAATATCAAATGACAGTAACACTAACTGTTCGGTCAATGAATGCTAAATATTTCCTTATAAAGAAACAGCTAATTTCACCATTACTATATATATATATATATATATAATGCCATGCAAAAGTAAGTGAACCCCTAAGATAATATTTTAAAAAAATGTCTCTTTTTTTCAGATGATCAACAAATCTTAATTAAACTATATATTCATTAATAAAAATCTATATCAAATCAATTACAACCATTTTCAAAATTTGTACCAAGCTGGAATAAAAATATTAATTCAAAACTAAAAATTAATATGTACAAAAATAAGTGAACCCTTACATTTAATATTTGGTGACTGCTCCTTTTGAGGTTACAATGCAACAAGTCTTTTTCTATAATCTTTAAGATGTTTCTTGGAGTAGTGAGTGCTGATTTTTGACCATTCTTGGCAAAATTCCTACAATTGCTCGATTTTACCTGGGTTTACTAAAAATCTATTTTACAAAAAAAAAAATTATGAATTTCAAATGACAGTAACACGATCTGTTCGGACATTGAATGTTAAATATAGCTAATTTCAGCATTACAATATAACACGGAACTATGATTTAAATAGAACAGACTATATTTAACGAAAGACAGGAACACCAAACGAGTTTCAAAATTAAAACGTAACTTCACAGTCGAAAAACTATGTAATACACGCCGATAACTTGTCGGCGAGTACTTGACTGTTTCCACATAGGTATGGTAGTTTAAAATATAGGGAAGACAATGAGAGACCAAAAACTACTGGCTCCTTGAAGCGTTTAATTTTCTGTTTAACAGTGCGTTTGATGACATTAATGGGCAAAACCGTTAAAATAAAAATAATACGGACTTTATATTAGAATTTAAGTCCCTTGACCTCGCGGCCACGTAGGACCCACGGATCAAGTAAAAACCGAATATTGCTTTTGAAAACATATCATTCTCGATTCTCAAAATATACATATCTGCTCTGTTTCGTATCCTAACGTAAGAAAAGACTTTTTTTTTGTTGGGTTTTTTAAACGGACTAAATCCGAAATATTATCTAATTGATTTCTTTAAACGTTATTTTTAATGGCTATTCATATTGTGTATACAATTATTCGAGAATTTTTTTTTATTTATTTTATTCGAGAAATCTTGTGAGAAAAATATACGCATATTATTCTAACAAGACATCTCAAATGGCCAAAAGCACTATTTATGCACTGTTTGATCAGAAAGTCCTACGTCCGAAGCACATAAGATCTAATGACGTTTTCCCCTCGGGGAATCTAGATTAAACATGGCGTTTAAACAAAGAAATTAAAAGATATGTGGGATTTAATCCATCACCAAAAATATCGCACACACACAAAACACACACAGACACATATGCATACACACACACACACACACACACACACACACACACATATATATATATATATATATATATATATATATATATACAATCAGTGTTCTCTTTTATGTTTACATACGCTCTATCTTTGATATTGAGCAATTTTATACCTAAATGTAGCATACCTTAAAACTATATTTGTATCAAATATCTCTATATATCTATATAAACATGCATATATATATATATATATATATATATATATATATATATATATATATGAAAAATATAGTCTTAAGGTGTGCTATATTTATGGGATAAAAGTGCTCAATATCAGAGATAGAACGATATATAATAAAGTGAACATAGAAGTCAACACTTAGAGACGACAGTCTGTTTCATGCTATATGCAATCGTCATGGCCTGACGATTGCATCTAGCATGAAACAGACTCTAAGTGTTGACTTCTATGTTCACTTTCATTGAAACTTGAAACTTGACTAATGAATGGAATAATAATGCAACACAAAATGTACTTAGAACAAAATGTATTGAAACAAGAAAGTGTACACAATATTTACATAGTCTTTTGTATATTCCTGGTAAGACCGTTCCTGGAGAATGTGTTGACTGAGTCGCAGTCGGGCAGAGTCTCTGGTTGAATGTCTTGATTCCTCCTTCGCTTCCCGGTACCAACCATATTTATATGGTCGGTACTCCACTATGAAAATTAGGTGGATCCTACCACAACACTTTTATATATATATATATATATATATATATATATATATTTCTATCAAAATATATATATATATATGTGTGTGTGTGTGTGTGTGTGTGTGCGTGCGTGCGTGTGTATTAGGTGTAAAATTTATATCTTTCTCTCCTTTTTTTTTATTTCTTCCAGGATATTCTTTCTTTTGGCTTGCTTCTTTTCCACTTTTCCCCTTTCTTTTCTTTCCTTTTTCTTATCATTTTTTTTTATTTCTTTCTTCTTTAGATTTTTTTCGTGAAAATTTGACCTGATCTTTGTCTCTTTTTCTTCAGGAATCTTCTTCATTCTCTTCTTCGCCCTACATTTTGTATTAGTTTTCTTTCTTTGTTTCTCTTTATATTTTTTCTTCATTTAGTAATTTCCTTTTTAGTTATCTTTCTTTCTTAGAATACACATATATATATATGTGTGTGTGTGTTACAGAGCATTAATATTATAAATTAATTGATTTAAAATATGTTTTTACGCTACACAGTTCTAACCATGTTTCAAAAATGGAAGCTAAAAGCTCAGAATTTAATTTTGTATTTAAATTAAAGACATTAGTTCCATTTCATCCTAAGCGAATTTTGGAGTAACTTTTAAAATTACTGGGTTTTAAAGACACAGCTAAAATTATAATATATAACCACACATTATGAAATGGACAAAGTCTTCCAATTATTTGAAGACACTTCTTTTATGTTTAAACGTTCTTTTTATAGATACAAATATTTAAGTAAATGCTCTGTTTATAATAAACAGTATTAACGACATTTACCGGCCTGAATGTCTTAGAATTTTCATAGAAAATATGCTTTCTCCGACAGGAATCGAACCTGTATCCTACACGGAACCATCATATAGTTTGACGGGCTTTACTGATTGAGCCACAGAGGATCGTTTTGGTTAGCAAGGTCGATTTTACTGTTTTTAAACGACAATTCTCCATGATTTTCTCTCATACATTCATATCTGCTCAAAGCGTATCCAAATATAAACAAATGATGTCACACATTATGACATGGACAAAGTCCGAAAATTATTTTAAGAAATTTTTTTCGGAGGACGCATATTTTCTATTATTCATATCATATAATAATAAATATTCAGGCCGGTAAATGTCGTTAATACTTTTTATTATAAACAGAATATTTACCTAAATATTTGTATCTGTAAAAGAACGTATAAACATAATATATATATATATATATATATATATATATATATATATATATATATATATTGAAATGAGGCTGCTAGGAGTTGAGGGTGTCACTTTGAAAGAAGACGAGGCACAAGGCTTAAAAGAAATGTGCATTAAGGCGTTCCCGTTGAACTTCCCGGAGACACCTGCAAGCAGCTCGATCTGACGTGTACATATTGTGGTAGAGTGTGTTTGTCGATGGCTTGAGAGCGCACTGACGGGGGGGAAGCAATTGACTATAAAGACGTAGACGTCCAGCAACTGAAATGTGATATTTATGGTAAGAAATGCGGGTCCAGAAGCCATTGCATGCGGCATTTTAAATTGCATGATAACGTAACACCCGCTGCTGCACCTCTTAAGTCCCCTGTATGTGCCAGAGTATGTAGGTCCCTGGCTGAACTAAAGAGCTACATTCTTTCAGCACAACAGTAGATATTCTCCAAAAAGATATTTAATAATGGCTTACTCGAACCCGAGTTAGCAACTACCACATATATATATATATATATGGTATGTATTTGTGTGTAAACGTGCAAGTTTATGGCCACATCACGTTGTAATAGCAGTTCCCGTATGATCACCGAAGTGAGCCTGGCGAAGAGAAATTAAATGGCTGACAGCTTGAGATGACCATTTCGAATAAGCCTTGATTTACGGTTGGTGCAATGGAATTGGAATCGGAATTGTTTATCGGAGAAACGAGTTCCAATTCCAGTTGGCGCCGTTATATTCACTTACAAGCAAATAAAATTGGAAAATGGTACGACTCCCACGATTACTTATCAAGGTATGAGCTAAAGAGAAAAACTTATATCACTAAAGCATTACAAACACACACACACACACACACACATATATATATATATATATACATGTTTCATTAAATAATATAGACAAGTGTTGTCTATTTATCTTATGTAAATTCTTTTCATAACGTCTGATAAGCTTAATAACATTATCATTAAACGAAGAAAGAAAATTACAATATTGATCCATATTTTTTAATCCAATCTAAGCTTTCGACTTACATAAGCCATTATCAAAGATACCAATTACTGTACAACATATTCAGCAATATACAGACAGGGCAGTGATGATAGTCTGTGATTGTTTACATGGATGATTGCATCGTTGCAATGTATTTTAAGACGATATATATATATATATATATATATATATATATATATATATATATATATATATATGGGACAAAGTGATATATATAATCTTTCTTCTGCTGCGTTCCCTTCATGATGTTCTTGTAGAGGACCTTGGGTATAAGTGTTGTTAAATTAGGAACACGTGCGTTTATTTCCTGCTAGAAGAAGGTCCAACTACAAGAACATGGCGGACTCAAATTGAGTCCAACCGAAGATCTAAAGAAAGCAAACAAGACCAATATATATATATAAACAAATATATGTATTATACAACAGATTTACAAGTGACAAAGGCGTTAACATCTGTGTTTGTGTGTGAACGTAAAGAGTTTGTATTTTGGTGAAAGTTCGTACGTACGTGTATGTGTGTTTCATGGCGTTTTCCCACAAGTGGACGAAAACGCGGATTTCTGTGAGAGATCACATTTTTAAATGAGTCCGTTGAAATGCGAAGTAGAAAAGAGAACGAGGCAAGAATTTGCCCAGTATTTATAGTGTAGGGAGAGCCTCACCTAGTGACAATTAGGAAATTAAGGAGCAGCTAACTCCGACATCCTCATCGGACTTAAGTGAAGTTTTCTTTCATGTAACTACAGATGTGCATAAAATAAAAGATAAAATAAATTTAAATGTTTAAATTTCGAGCGTCTCCTACCCTTCGGGCGCATGTGTACTCATATCAATTTATGTCTTTTTAAAAATATCTAAATAATAATTTAGACAAATAATAATTTAATCCGTGAAATTCTATATTCGCAGTTCTTGATGCAAATGGGTCTCCAATTTCTCCAAATTTGTTAAAATGGAAAAATAAATTTTAAAAAATCTCTCAAAGGATTTAAAAAAAAATAAACCTTCCGCGCTAAAATTCTTTCTGTTGGAAGGCAAGGAAACTACGAATTGCAAGGAAATTTACCGATTCCACTGCGATGTCTTTTTGACTTCATTTCTTTCAGCGAAAAACTCCGCACTTAACAAAATCTTTCTCTTTGCTCTGCTGAAATTAAATATGATATAAAATTTTAGTCGGACATTAATGAAAAGTATTTCTTGGTGCAAATATTCCCTGAATTCAAAACAATCATTTACAAACATATTTCTTTCTGTCTTTTCTTCGTGTTTCTGAGACTGACACCACCGAAGAAAATATTGATCATGTTCACCACAAGGTGATGGATAAGAGGCGATTGTATATAACTCAAATAGCCAATGCTATTAGCATATCCCATGAGAGAGTTGGGCGCCTCGAGACGATGTAATGGTTAGCAAGTTTATCTCGCTAAAACAAATACGACTGAGTAGTGAGTTCGATCTTCACTGGGTGCCCTCTACTTTAGGCCTTGTGCCACATCTAGGCTACGCGTGGAAAATCACTATCCCATGAGAGAGTTGAGAATATTTCGCACAATGAACTTGGCATGACGAAGCTGCTCGGTGGATGCCACGTCTTCAAAAGTACACCAGCCTGTGCACATCACTGGAAAATCTGACATTGCTAGAAGAGTTTTCATCCTTTCGAGCTAGAAAAATATTTGTAAAATCATGCATGAATTAATTTTTATAATTCTTCTTATTAATAACTGCATTGTTTCTTTCTAACTAAAAGGTCACCTGACTGTTCAACGATGTCTACAAATGTGACTAGTAGCCAAATCTCTTGTGAATATTGATTGTGTTCATCACATAGTGTTGAATGACTGGCTAATATTTTATCGTCTTACCCGGGACGAGGATGTAGTTTATTGTCGTACCCAGGACGACAAAGGCAACGGGCAGAGAGTATATAAAGCATAACAGATTGTCGCCACTCACTTTTGACCTGAAGCGATCGGATGTCTAGTTATACGGATGAGCTGCGAAAAAGTTTGTCAGTGGATGACGATATATATATATATATATATATATATATATATATATATATATATATATATATTTCGATAAACGTGCAGTCAATTTACAAATTCATGAATTATTCATACAAAAACAAATGCAAAGGTTAATGATTTAATTGGCGAGAAATCCATCGTCGCAAACAATTCAAATAATATACAAAACCCCCCGAACCTGTTATGAATGAAAAGATCCTTGTTTCTATAAATTTCTGGTGCATTAGTTCTTATACAACATATATACGGATACAACAATACATATATTTTCGTTGTCCTCTTATTACTGAGAGAAAAAACAAGAACAACATCTATTCCATACCTGAAGATGTCTGTAGGAACAGACGAAAGCTTGTAGTAAAAATAAGAACTAATGCAGCAGAAATTTATAGAAACAAGGATCTTTTCATTCATAACAGGTTCGGGGTTTTTGTATATTATTTGAATTGTTTGCGACGATATCGCCAATTAAATATATATATATTTGTTTTTTTCCATGAATTTATGAACTATATATATATATATATATATATATATATATTTCCATCCTTTACGAACATGGACATTATAAGGAACATAATTTATACACAGAAGAAACTAACGCTGAGCCAAATAACTTCATACGTTCAAAGTTCAAAATCTCTCGGCATCAAGGAAAAACAATCGAAAAATATGGAGGACGCTAAGTGAAGTAAATATTTGAAATGTTGTTTATTCCAAAGTGGACTTATTGTTGCTATGGATATTATTGATTTTATTTATTTGTTTATTTATATATCCATGACTTAGGTGTTTTCTTTTATATTTGGCCGTTATATTTGATGGTTATTCTATTGCATATACTGTTTATTAACATATTGAATAATGTTAAATTCGCACACACACACACACACACTCACACACACACACACGCACACACACACACACACACACACACACACACATACACACACACACACACACACACACACACACACACACACACACACACACACACACACACACACACACACACACACACGCACACACACACACACACACACACACACACACACACACACACACACACACACACACACACACACACACACACACGCACGCACACACACACATACACACACACACACACACTCACGCACGCACTCACACACACACACACACACACACACACACACGCACACGCACGCACACACACACACACACACACACACACGCACACACACACACACACACACACACACACACACACACACATATATATATATATACCAATGAAAAAAATAGTGAAAGAAAGTAATTATTAATTTGTATGCAGAAAGGATTATAAGATTATGATATTTCATTCTTACTTTCATTTATATATATATATATATATATATATATATATATGTGTGTGTGTGTGTGTGTGTGTGTGTGTGTGTGTGTGTGTGTGAAAATATATATGGATATAGATCCGACAGTATGAAGAAAAATATACTGAAAAAACAAACAAAAATCCTAATATGCGATTATGCTGTTTTAATGTTTAATGTCAACGTCGGACGTTTCGGTCTAATAGACCATCTTCAGGACATATTCATAAAACATAATTAACATACCATATTTAAACGGAACGCTGATTTTATAAAAGATTTCAGCAAAAAGCTACCTTCTTTAAAACGACAAAGAGACCGCCCCAAACAACGGCGACACAATTCACATTAAGAACTAAATTCTATCTCTTGTATCTCCTGCAACGACTAAGAACTAGACGCATACGTACTGACTCTTTTACACAAACCATGGCCCACCGGGCAAAATTAAATTTATATTGTTTTTTTTTTAAAAGAAAAAAAACGAAACAAAGCATTTCACTGTTTATAACATATTTAATAATATTTATATAAATTATATTTATTTATTTATTTGTAATTGTCCCTAAAAATGAAATAAAATACAATTAAATTCGTAAGACAAATATTCAACACGACTAATGTTGCCCGTAACTCATGTTTGACTCTCATAATTTTTATTTAAATAACGTTCTTTTTTTCTTTCCCACCAAAATATAACTTGAATTTGGACGGGTGGGTGATCGTTATTTTGTACACTTCCCTCAACTTTTACACAGAAAAAAAAATTGTACTTGTATTAAACAAAATTATTTACAAAAAAAAATATTTGTTCCTTACAATACATTACTTTGCCTTCACTTTTGACGGCGAATTTTACATATACAATATATATATATATATATATATATATATATATATATATATATATATATATATATATATATATATGTGACGTCGCCCCTCCTTGGTCGCAGCGTCGACTCTGTCGTTCGATCTCGTTCGCGGCTCCAACTGTGACGTGACGTGATGTGGCTGCCCAAGGGTCGATCCTTGTCACGGACAGCACCAGTTGTGACGTCTTTTGCCGCGGCGTCAGCTGTTCGCTCCCTCGCTGCTCCAAGTGTAACGTTCCAACCCTCTGGTTAGATGATTACCAGCCTCGCCGTTCCCAACTCGCTTCCAACACCTGGTTACTAGGGTAACTGCTGATCTCCGGTCTGCCTACCCACGTTGTGATTAGATCTTAGACAGACGGGATCAAACAGGAGTCAGGGCCGTATGCCAGCTGGGTTCAACAGGGGGTGGCAACACACAAGTAAAAAAAAAAAAAAACTCACGAGGCAAAAAATTACTGATAAGAAAGGGTAACAACCTTTTATATCTAATGTTCGTTACATAAAAATTATTCTTACTTCCCGACCCGTTTTGTGGACTGTGGCACCAAGCTTCTATCATACAATTTAAAGACTTCGAGTTGCCTACTCTCTAGAATTTTGTATGTCGGGTGTGGTTTGGTTTCGACTCTGGGCGCTAATCTCTACCAGTCGTTCACGGCTGATTCTTCTCTTCGGCTTGAGGTTGGACGAGCTTATTCGCTTCGGCTTGAGTTGGACGTATTTCTTCACTTCGATTTGGGTTGGACGAATTTCCACCCCTCAGGCAGCCTGGTTTCAACTTCTTCTAGACGCAACTGCAAGTAACTTCTTCTTCTTCCGTCCTGCAACTCTTCTCGCCAAGGTCCGAACTCTTCTCTCTGCCGTCTGAGGTGAACTCTTCTCTCTGCCTTCCGGGGCTGAACTCATTTGCTTGTTTGGCCTGCAACTTTTACTGCCTGTCTGGCCTGCAACTCTTCTGCCTGTCTGGCCTGCAATCCTTCGGCCTGTCTGGCCTGCAGCTCTTCTCTTCTGGCCTGCAGCTCTTCTTCTTATCTGGCCTGCAATTCTTCTGCTTGTCTGGCCTGCAGCTCTTCTGCCTATCTGGCCTGCAATTCTTCTGCCTGTCTGGCCTGCAGCTCTTCTGCTTGTCTGGCCTGCAATTCTGCTCCAACTTCTCTGCGGCTTTCGAGCAATTTTCTTCTCTTCGACTTTGCTGCAACTTCTCTGCCTGTCCGGGCCAAACGGACCGACCCTTCTTGCCCGCAAGGGGCGAATGAACAGGGCCCGCCGTCCTCTCGCCAACTGCTCTGGCCGTCTACCCAGCAACTCTCTGATTTCTGTCGGTTGGGGTTCTGCTTTTATGCAACAAACTGGGGTGGGTCTGTCGGCGTCAGGGTTCCTTGATAATTCCAAAAGTCGCATTAGTTCTGATTTCCCATTATCGCTCTTATTTTCACCCCTACTTCCTCACAGTGCCTCTGGGGGAGGCGCATACCCATCTCTCTCGGTCTCTCGTATGTCAGGTGACCGTTTTCGACCAATGAGTCCTGGTCGAGCGTCCTTTCTCCTCTTTCTCGCATATCACGTGACCGCTTTCGGCTAATGAGATTCTGGTTGGGCGTCTCCGTCCTTCGTGACGTCTCCAATCGGGCGTGGTCTATCCAGCTTTGTTCTGGGAAAGAAAACACCTTGCTAAAAAAAACAAAATCAATTTGGCCTTTTTCGCACGCACGAAAATGACAATCTCGGCCTTTCTCACCTTTTGGTTTTTTGTCAAAACAGCCCGCCGCTAATTAGATGTGACTTCAGGAAGAATTTTCTCGTCTCGCTGGCGCTTTCTGTGAGCCAAAACAATTGTTTTTTTCATTCCTTTATTTTCGTTCAGGCCTGACAGTCAAAATCTTAATTATCTGAATTGAAAAATATCCTCACTTCATCATCGTGGGGTTCTAATCTTCAACAGGTCAGGATCTGTATACAATTCCAGCGGTCACCTTCTCATTCCAAAGACACCCCTTTCCGAGTAATGTTTCGTTTTCCATTGTTCTAAAAAATCCCATTTCTCCAAATTGATAATGAGCTTCTACATTCCGTGGACACAAAAGTAGGTCAGATGTTTTGACCGATATTTTTATCAATCGTACGTATGTTCATCCACTTTTACCATGTCTGTTTTCTTTTTATTTCTTTCATTATCTCTAGACTTATTCTTAATTTCTATTGTTCGAAATTCGGTCAGGCGCGTTGGCCTAGATATCTCTTGACACCTGTTTTCGCTTATGACCGGCTTTTGCATTACCCATCTCTCCTTCTCTTTTCCTTTCTTTTCCTCTTTCTTTTCCCTTCTTCTTCCCTTTAGGGTCGCCTAAATACAATTGAGAATTATTCTCAAAACTCAATTATTCTTCGTCTAAATAACTAACAACTGGTTAATAAACCGAATAAAAATTAAATCATATTTCTAGGAATATTTCTTTTTAGTTTTTCTAATAATGCAGGGTGCCACATATATATATATATATATATATATATATATATATATATATAAAAACATAGTTTTAAATATCAGGAATAGACCATATGTAATATGAAAATGAACAGTGAATTTAACACTCAGAGGTGACAGACTGTTTCATGCTAAACGCAATCAGTGATTTCAGTGTACTTTTCTTTTTATATATATATATATATATATATATATATATATATATATATATATATATATATATATATATATATATATATATATATATATACTGTCAGCTCATCGGCGTGGCTAGACAGCTGATTTACTATTACACTAGTAATCACTGTTTACAAATTCCGGCACTCCAGAGTGCTCGACCGAAATTATTTTTTCGGGGGCGTATATATTGTCATCGACAGCTAATCAGCTCCGATTGCCTCAAGCCGGGATCGAAACCCGACTGAATTGTCATCAGTCGGAGATTTTGTCATCAGTCGGAGATTTTTCCCCTGCGCTATCAGCGCCCGGTAGAGCAGAAGGTGAATTTTTGTGACCGAGAGAGCTCAATTCATAGGAGAGCTTCGCATTGTCAGTAATAGTTGTCACTGTTTACAAATTCGCGCTTTCTCTCCAGAGTGCTCGTAGTGAACAAATAAATGGAAGCTGTGTAGTGACGTATTGTTTTCCATGATTTTCTTTTTCAGTTTTTCCAAAATTTTCAGTTTTATTGATGAAATCAATATTTTCAGTGGCCATATAGTGGTGGAAGGGATATCTTTGTGGGGTTTCAATCCCAGCGAGCAGTACCATTGAGACATATCTGAAACTGAATAGTTCCACATCATTCATAATCACTGAGACATTGACTGTTACAAGCTTCGTTCAAAATTGTTGCCCAGGCCTGATTTCGCGCTCTTCTACAGAAAACATGACAGCAAAGTTAACAGTATAAACCACACTTTATGTCTGTGCGTGCTGAAGAAATACAAATGGGCCTGATAGGGTATCTCCAATAGGTAATGACTGGTCAGCCTCCTCGGAATTGTGCTTACTTTACTTAATAAATTGGTTTAAAAAAAAAAACTACATTCTTTCTCAGTCATCTCCTCACTCAGTATCATCTGCAAACATTACAATTGTACGGATAATTTGCATTTCATTCTTAGTCACATAATTTTTTTTAAAAAAAATCATGGTTGGGATATTTATACCGTTCTAGTAGATTTTTATGAGGTTGCAGTCACTGTTTATTGCTCAGAAAGTAACTTCGGAAATCGCATTTATCACAATAAGAGCTTTTTCTATGCTTCAACGGTTTTAATCAGAGAAAAAACAAGGAAGTAAAGAGAAAGAAGAAAGAAAAAAAAGAAAAAAGATCTACAAACTGCTTTATTGATTTCCCCTTTAGTCCCGCTCTTGAACAAAAGACATTCCGCCATTATCGAATTTCTTGCGGATGTTGTTTTCCAGGTGGTTTAGATTTCTTCTTCTTCTTCTTCTTCTTCTTGCCTTTTGTCTTTTTCATTACTTTCCTTTTCTTTCAGTATTGTTTTCTCGCTGTTATTTCTCATCTTTTTCTTTTTACACTCCTTTTTCTTTTTTTCCTTTTGTCTCTGTTATTTAATTTTACATTTACTTCCTGATGTTTCCCTCTTCTTTCTTTCTTTCTTTCTTTCTTTCTTTCTTTCTTTCTATATTCCTTTCTTTATTCCTTTCTTTCTTTCTTTCTTCGTTTTTACCTTCCACCTGTTCTTTCGTTCGATTTTTCTTCTTCTTCTTCTTCTTCTTCTTCTTCTTCTTCTTCTTCTTCTTCTTCTTCTTTCACAGCTTCTTTCAGTTTGTTTTATTCTTCATTTCTTTCTTTTTTCTTTCTTTTTTTCTTCATTTTTACCTTCCACATTTTCGCTCACCCTTTCTTCTTCTTCATCTTCTTCTTCTTTCATTCATTCATTGATTCATTTTATTTTTCCACTTTATCTATCTTTCTTTTTTCATTCCTTCTTTTTTTTTCTTTTATTTCGTTTTCTTTTTTACACATTATGTCTGCTTCCCCTCCATTTTCTACTTCTTCTGTCTTTATTTTTTGTCTCCCTCTTCTCCGTTCCCCTCCTACTTCCTTCTTCTTCTTCTTCTTCTTCTTCTTCTTCTTCTTCTTCTTCTTCTTCTTCTTCTTCTTCTCACATCTTTAACTCGTTTCCTTTCTTTTCTTTCTTAAAACTGCCTCTCCTCCATTCTCTTTCTTTCACCTCTTCATTTCCTCATTAATATCTCTTTCATCATCAATATTACAATAATAACAATTATTAGTATTTCTTCAGTCTTTCATTTTGGATTTTGAGTCTGCCTATCTAGTGAAACTATTTGCCAATAATGGATCCTAATAGACAATTTGATGACGCTATTTATTTCTCTTAATATCTTTGGTCGTTTTTCTTTTTCTTTTCTTTTTTTCTTCTGTTTTTTCTTTCCTTATTACTTCCCAAGTAGAGAGACGTCTCTCTTAACTCAGGAATTGTTCTCCGGCAATCATTGTGTCGCAAATAAGCGACGGAAACAGTTACTTACTAACACGTTTTCCCTAATTGCTTCACATTGATTGATACATGGTTATTATATATCTGTTATATTAGTAAATCATTTTGATGCATTAGTCGTGTTGAGGCAGACGGCGGTGGATGCTTCAGTGCGCGTGACTGTCAGATTGCATTGGTTGCGAAGAAAAAAAAAAAATGTTTCAAAATGTTAAATATTATTGAAAACTAATTATATACATATTAAGAATTTGATGAGTGTATATGTGTATTTATTAGGACAGTAGATTTAGCATCATCTCACATTGGATTTAAAACAACACACACATAAATGCATACGCGTACAAAAAATGGAAATATATATAAATATATATATATATATGTATATATATATATATGCGTGTGTGTGTGTGTGTGTGTGTGTGTGTCTTGTGTTGTAGCATACCTACGGGCGATAATGGGTATGTCCCCATTCACATAAATACAGAAGTAAATACAGTACGATAGTCTAGAGTTGGACATTCGTCTCCGGCTCTGCTGGTCAATCTCTCTGCCTCCGGGCAGAGAGGATCCCCAGACGAGGCTATGTCGAAGGGAAGAGTCTCTTCTCGGGAAACAGGTATCCACACCCCGTTTTATACGGTGTCTACGGGGAATATTTGACCGAGCCTACGAGCTCGGATACTCCACATTGAATTGTGTCGCATCTGACCGCGTTGGGCGGTTGGTAGATATCCTACAGTTGGAGATTCATTATCGAATTTACTCAACTCCCTTCTAGCATCTAACTACTTCTACGCGCCGCTGGCGAATCTTATATGTGCCCTAAGTATTATCGTTCGTTACCAACCTTCGTTTGATTATTCTATTCAGTAATCTTTCCTAGGTTAAAACAATATATATAATAAAAAAAATGTTCAAAATTAATATTACAGTCACACTGGGTTGTATATTAAGATTTTTGTTTTATTTTTTAAAATTAAGTTCCTGGCTAGTTTCGACCAGTACGGCCATTATAAAGAGAAAAATTCCTGCTAGTTAGTAGAAATGAACTACAGCGGCAAATGACTGTCTCTGAAGAAAGTGAACTTTACCTGTAGTTTTCAATTATTTTGTATCGTTAATTTTTGGTCAAGTATTGGTCAAAGTCCTTTTTAAAGTTCTTTTTAAGAAACAATTGGGAGACTTATGAGTCTCAGATTTACCTCCCTCGTCATTTTGACTGCTTTATTGGTTGCTGGGAAGGTAATGTGTGCGTTATGTGTATGTTATCTTTATTTTTTTTTGAGTATCTATGATTTGTGTATGACTATATATTTGTGTGAATATGTTTATATGGGCAAACTCATCACCACTGCAAGAATGTGTGTATCGTGTGGATGAGGGTGAGAGGGTTTAGGGGAGTTAGTTCGGGCTCTTTATGGGGGGTGTACTATTCTATGTAGTAAATCTAGAGCATATGCATCTGAAAAGAGATTATAATGTGTTTTAGAGGAATATGGGGGGGGCTGATCTATGGGATTATATATTAATTCTATCAGTGCTTTTTAGTTTTCTGTTAATTCCGGCTGAACAAAGATTTTTGAGGCGAAAAATCCATTAGTTTACATGTGCTTCTACTTCTTCTATTTTATTTTTGTGTATATTTGTATTCTTTCAATAATAGTGAATTTTGCATGGCTTTTAAAATTATGTTTTTCTAGGAGGAAATGTTGTTCTAAAGGTAATAATCTTTCGTGGAGAACCGACTTAATACGATTCCGATAATTATTAATTCTTTAGAGAAAGGGTCATTCATATTTTCTCACATATTTTTCTGGCATAGTGTACATTCTAATAGGTAAATTACGTTATGATTTCTACTGTTAGAGTTGTGTAGATTTTGGAAGTAGAGTTTGTGACTTAGCTTGTGAACGAATTGGTGTGTTTAGCGTGGTTACAACATAGACTCATTATATATATATATATATATATATATATATATATATATATATATATATATATATATATATATATATATATATATATGAAACAGACTATCGACGCTGGGTGTTGACCTCAATGTCCACTTTTTATATTTACATACGCTCTATTCCTGGTAGGAAACACTTTAACTCATAAATTTAGCATAACTTGGAACTACACGCACTCACGCACACACACACACACACACACACACACACACATATATATATATATATATATATATATATATATATATATATATATTAATCATTTGACCCCAAACAAAGCGAGAATGTCTGTAGTACGCAGGGTCTTACAGGAAGTGAAAGTGAACGAGAAGAATAGGAATATGAAGGATTGAAGAAAGGAAAAAAGATAAACGGTATTCAAAAAGACAGAAGATGGCGATTGACGTTGCATTTAAATTTTTGTAGATTTTAATTATCAGTTAAACAAGTAAACGGAGGAGAGTTCCACAGGCGAGAAGTGCGAGAAAAAGAAGGGTAAACCTATAGATATTCACCCTTGTGCAAATTAATTGAAACAACCGCTTTAGTTTCCTTTATTTCACCATACGGTCAGTTTAAGACCCACTGAAGTGAGAGGGTGTAATCGTTTTCTATGTTACCCTAAGATTAGGTCACTTCCAGTGGTGCGCAGTCATATGAATCTGTTTTCGGAGTGTATGATTAAATTTATTAAGCCTTGAAAGATACTGCGTCATCCGTGATTGCATCAGATTTTTATCACGCTCAGACACTACTGACTCGACTGTCGATTAGTTGTCATACGGCCAATGTCATCGATGGACTTTACTCCAAGGAAGCGTACGAAAATTGTAACTCTGCACGAACATAGTGAGTAAATCAAAGTACTATAGACTGATGCGTAAAATCTACTGATTTAAATCCATTCAAGAATTTGTGGTCCATGTGCAAGGAACGACTTCGTTGGATGGACATACGAAGTACTAACATGTTCAGGGGGGGGGCATGGTCCAATGGAAAAATATGAACGAAAGTAAATAATAACGGAATTTTTCGTTTTGTTTCAATTAATTTGCACAATGGTATATATATATATATATATATATATATATATATATATATATATATATATATATATAGGCATCCACAGACAGTTTCGCAGCTCATCAGTGTTGCCAGATATACGATTGCCTCAGGCCGAGATCGGAACCCGACTGATCTGGTATCAATCGGAGATTTTACACCTAAGCCATTGGTGCACGGAATCACTTCAACCCAAACAAGACAACAAAGCCACTAAGACGAATAGAAGAAAAAGAAAACATTCTTAAGCAACGTGAACAATGATAGTTTATAAGATAAAAGTTACGGATTGACATTGTATTTACATTTTTGAAGATTAATCTTGCTTGTAAAGAAAGAATGCGGAAGAGAGTTCTATAAGCGAGAAGTTAGAGGAAAGAAACTGTTAGCACAACACTTACATTTTCATCTCGCCATTTTAGCTGTAAAATTATGAGATCTTCCGAGAATCTAATGCTGTGCTTAGATAGATAGATAGATAGATAGATAGGAACAGACGGTAATAGATAGATAGATAGATAGATAGATAGATAGATAGATAGATAGGAACAGACGGTGATAGACAGATAGATAGATAGATAGATAGATAGATAGATAGGAACAGACGGTGATAGATAGATAGATAGATAGATAGATAGGAACAGACGGTGATAGATAGATATGAAGATCGAGATAAGTAGATATGAACAGATTCAGATAGATAGATAGAGAGATAGATATATTACTATATATTCAGAAAAGATATATGTAAATAAATATGTATTAAACTAGATTGCATATTCACATTCATTGAAAGAAATATGTACATATATATATATATATATATATATATATATATATATATATATATATATATATATATGTATACATATATGTATATGAGTGTGTGTATTATGATTAGATAGATAGATAGATAGATAGATAGATAGATAGATATATACTAACATATTCATATATATTCAAAATAATAATAATAATAATATTAACCATGAGCACAGCCAAAACGTGTTTGGAAAATTACAAAAGACATTCTCATCACTATAATTACACATATTAAAAAATCTAAATATCCAGTTAAATAGAGTCTAGATACCAATGAGGAAAGATCCTTCAGAACGATTACCATGAAGGTCTTTATAGAAAAGCAACCTCACTAGGAAGGCGGGAATGTCACTGACGCCGAGATGCCAGATCAGGACCAGAAACATAGCAAATTTTTCTTTGCATTTTTTCAAGAATCTCTAAATAAATAGCAGGAAAACCAAACCATAAAGGAACGGCAATATTCTAAGCGTGCATGAATAGTAGACTTATAAATATACAGAATAGATTCAGGCGAGAAAAATTGTCTTACGCGGCTCAAGGAACCAACTTAACAGATCTGTTAAATGATTCAATATCATCTTTCCCCTTCATGTCAGCGGAAAATGGAGAAAACGCAACGATTCACTTTGCTAGACGTTAGCATTAGCCATAGTGGTGGTCGGCAGAAAGGGGTTCTCTCTAACGATTAATAGCTTCCTTTTGGAGGCATTGAAATTAGCAAGACTTTACTTACCCAAGTTAACAACGGAATGTAGATCATTTTCTAGATCATCTGCCAATTTTGCCTTATATGATGGTGGATGTTTTTGCGTGAGTGCGCTAAATGGCGATTGTGCCTTTCTCTCTCTCTCTCTCTCTCTCTCTCTCTCTGTGT